TCCCTCCCAAAGTGCTGGGATTACAGGCTTTGAGGCCCACCGCGCCCGCCTATGTTTATTTCTTAAAAACAAATAGGCGGCCTGGTGGGCTCAAGCCTTGTTAATCCCAGCACTTTGGGAGGCCGAGGACGGCCCGGATCACAAGGGTCAGGAGATCGAGGATCCATCTGTTCTAACATAGTTGAAACCCCGTCATCTACTAAAAAAATACAAAAAACTAGTCCGGGTGAGGTGGCGGGCGCCTCCTGTAGTCCCAGCTACTCGGGAGGCTGAGGCAGGAGAATGGCCCCCGTTAAACCCGGCGGAGCGGAAGGCTTGCTAGTGGCAGCTGAGAATCCGGCCACTCACTCCAGCCTGGGCGACAGGAGCGAGACTCGCCTAAAAAAAAAAAAAAAACAAAAAAAAAAAAATAACAAATATAAAGGCTATGGACCAGTGATCTGAATGTGTTAAGAACCAGAGACTGATTAATCTAATTCTGTGCAACCGAGTTTCTCAGAGACCTCCCCAATAAACATACTCAGCAAATTGTCCCACACATACAAGTACCAGACACCAGATACCTGGCCTTTTCCTTCCTCTCACACCATGGCTCTCCATCCTCAAGTCTGGCCTCTGTCTGATACAATGAAGTGGAGCCCAGAGGAGGCAGCACCGTCTTCAAATTAGGGGCTAACATCCTCACCTCCCTGCAATGCTCTGCCACAAATGTGCCACCCAGGAATGGATCCAAAACCACTGCAAAGCTATTTATACTAGGAGATGACCCCTCTACCTTTAAAGACCTATGAAAATCTCAACAGTTCTTATGCAGGCCAGCAATGGCCTAGGTCAAGCCTGAGCCTGAAGCCCCTAACCAAAAGTCCTCACAATGCAGATCCCCTCAGCAGCAGCCAGAAGGACTTGTCAGGGAATTTTGGAAAGAGTGGGCAGGCATCAGAATCCTCCAGACTGGAATCAGAGCTCAAGTCTAGAGTCCACCTCACAGTCAGGAGCCAGACTCTGGCTCCACCAGACTGCAGCGGACATCCCTCCCCAGGCCATGGCATTGGTCTCAGCTTGGCGGGAGGGGTGGATCTTTGAGATGGTCGACTGCGGGGTGGGGCGGGGTGGGGGCAAGTGCCAAAAGGCGGGTCCTGAAAGAGGAACCTTGGAGGGTCTGGAATGAAGATGTCCACAGTCCACCGCGCCCTCAGAGCCAGGTCCAGTGGATATCAGGGCAGGAGGGACCTCCAAATCTTGTGTTTAGGGCCATTCGCCTTATTCCACAGGCAAGGAAATGAAGAGCGAGAAGGGAGTTTATCGTGTGGCCTTAGGAGTCCTTGTCCTCCTCCTGCCACCCAGGCTAAGCCCTCCCCAGTCCCAGGAGGTGGCGGGGGATGGTGGGGGGTGGGACATCCTCCTGGCGAATTCAGGACTCGGCTCCACGTCCCCACGCCTCCATGAGAGTCGCCCCTACCGAAGGCGCAGCCGCCTCGGCCATGGCCCTGTGCTGGCCTGCCTGGGCAGGGAGTCGCCGCTGCCCTTGGGCGCGGCCCCACACAAGCCCGGCTGCACAGTTCTCTCCGCAGACGGCGTCAGCCCCGCTTTCCCCGCACGGACCGAGCTCGCGGGGCCGCCGGGACTCGGGACACACGGAGAACGCGTTCGGGAAGAAGCTGTGCCCCAGGCCCAGCGAATTGCGACCGGGTGGGCCCCGCGTGGACCCCGCCCCGCATCCCGAAGCCAGATCCCCGTTGGCCGGTGCTGGAGGCTCCGCCCCCGCTTCGCGGGCGCCTGCGACCCAGTGCCGGCTTTTCATTGGCCATCCCGGGAGGCCCCGCCCCCACAGCGTGCTCGGAGGTGTTGTGCGAGCCCTACAGGTGCGCGCGCCCGCGGACAGGTGTGAGCGCCCGCCCCAGGCTGGTGCCCAACAGCCCGCAAATGTCGCCAGCTGCCACTGCCCCGCACGGTCACTCACCTCCCAGAGAGCAGAAACCAGATCACGCGCACGCACTCGTTCATGTCAACAAGTTTATTGCGCACCAATTAGGGAAAGGGACTACCACCTTCACAGTTTTCTTGGGCTTATTAACGTCGTGGCCCACCCGTTTATTTCACAAATGAGGAAGACGAGGACTCTGCTGGGGGAGTTTGGGGCCCAACCAGGGCTCCCACCGAGTCTGGGGAACCCTCAGCTCCTGCACCACAAAGCTTCGGTTGACTCGTTTCAATGTAAAGAACGTTACTTAAACACGTCCGAGTGCTAGGCAAATTCACAAGACCTAGCTCAAAGTTGCACACATTGCTATGAAAAAAAGAAAAAAGGAGAATCAGCACCTTGTGACACTTACGCAGGGGCATTTGGCATTAGAAAAACAAGCCCAGAAACTCGGCAAAATTCTTAGCCTGAGGTATCCCCAGAACATCTGAGACTAGCTCCTGCAGCTGAGGGTTAAACTCGGGCACCTGCACTTGCACACATCCTGTCTGAGCTCTTGCTGACAGCCTGTCTCTGATTTGTGAAGCTCCTGGCAAGGGTTGGGGGACCCCAAAGCAAACAAGCAGGATCCACAGCACAGAAGGGCGGTGCCTCTTCCCAAACCCAAGGGAGCCTGGCCGAACTGTCACTGACTTGTATATTCACCCTCCTCCCAGAGATGACAGCAACGCTACCACTGGCCCCCAACTCTGCTCAAGACGGGCAAGGAGGGTCAGAAGGGCAAGGAAATGGCACATCCAGGAACCAAGGCCCCCAGAAGCAGCCCTGAAGGGTGGCCACTTCTCAGTGCCAGACAAGGCGGTAAAAAACAAGGTTAGCCGGGGTCCCATCACTCCAGCTTCAGAGTCACCCACACCAAGGCTGCTCTACAGGCAGCACCCGCAGTGGTGTGATGGGACACCAGAAGCCAGCTGACCTCCAGACTTCTCCATGAGGCCTGATATTATTGCCTGAACTTCTACAGTCTGAATCTCATGTTTTGGTAGGAATTTGTTCACCGAAACACAAAGGACCCCTGGGGAACAAAGCCCCGTGGGCGAGTCTTTCACTGAACCCAGTGGAACTGCCACTACTCACTCCAGAAGATAAAGGTCCTTCCTGAGGGATTCTGACAGGGGAAAAAAAGGCTGGAATGAGTAGAAAGGAGGCCCTGAACTTGAAAGGAAGCACAAAGCTAGGCTTCATATTTGTCCCAGTGCCTCTTAATTTGATCCTGACAACTCTGAGGTAGGACACACTGGGGCCATGACCCCCTTTGACAGAAGAGGAACATGAGACTAGCCGTGACTGAAGGACTCACCCAGATCTCCTAGCCCAACTCTGCCCCAGAGCCCAAAGCGCTCAAGGGAGAACTCCTTTGAGAGACTGCCTCCCCTTTAATGTGAAAAGCAGTCCTGGAGGCCCAGGGTAGAGGTGGCCCTCAGCCAGACCAAGGGCCTCCTCTAGGGGAGGGGCTTCCTGGGCTCTCTCCGCACTGCCCCTCAGGATGCTGTCTGGGGTCCAGTCAATGGATCTTACACACCCACAAACACTGAGCTCTTGGGGAGAAGTGTCTCCCACTCCAGGCTTCAGTTTCCCCTCCCAGCTGACAAACAAAAGTAAATAATGGACGTGCCTATTCTGTGGGGTAAGGACTAGGAATACTGGGAGTCACTCTGGGCCAAGAAACACACACCTAGGGAGACACTGTGCTTCCGAGACAGCAGCCAAGACATCCCCGTCAAAACCCACAGGCTGGGCAGGAGCAGTGGCTCACGCCTGTAATCCCAGCACTTCAGGAGGCTGAGGCAGGCGAGTCACCTGAGGTCAGGAGTTCGAGACCAGTCTGGATAACATGATGAAACCCTGTCTCTACTAAAAATACAAAAATTAGCCAGGAGTGGTGGCTCACCTCTGTAATCCCAGCTACTCAGAAGGCTGAAACAGGAGAATCACTTGAACCCGAGAGGCAGAGGTTGCAGTGAGCAACCTCTGGAGATTGCACCACTGCACTCCAGCCTGGGTAACAAGAGCGAAACTCCATCTTAAAAAAATAAAAGACCCACAGGCTGGTGGAGGTAGTTCCCCTTCCAGTTCTGCGAGCCCCACATGGAAAAGCCGGCTCTTTCCACTTTGCAAAAGGCGAAGTTCCATTAGCAACTACACACATTTACAAAAGCACTTGAGTCTCTATAACAAGGGGAAAAAAGTTTCAAAATAGCAAAGTAGAAAACTTTCCAGGACCCTTTCTTCAGGCCAACCATCCACTCCCCTGTCTCATGGTGACAGCAGGCCGGAGACCTCTGCACCAAACAAAAATCCCAGGTCCCCGATGTCTCTATCGCCCCCATACTGGAAGGGCCATGATCTCTGGTCCTCTTGGCTGTGGTACCTACCAGAGGCCCCATCAAAAATAAGGCATCCCTTAAGCCTTAAGGAATCTTTTACAAGTCAGGA